TAGTCCCCTAAGCCTGGGTGCCCCTTGCTTTTACACACTCCATCTGACCTCTTAGTCACTGGGGCCCCATCAAACCTACGGACACAGAGCAGCAGTTGGCAGGGTCACCACTCTACACTACAATAGAGGAAATGGGCCTCCTGCTGTCACACCCAGTCTGAGGGTGTGCCCGGGAGGGGGAAGTGGCAGGTGAAAGTCCTCTAAAACCCAAGCTCTCTGGCTGCCTGTGGTCAGGAAGAGAGAGAGACCACTCAGACATGGTTCAAATCCCAGCCCCACCACTTGAACCTAGGCCTGGAAACCAATACCACAGCCAATCACAGTTTGTTTGCTGGCATACAAATTGTGCTAACACCTGGGCTGGTATTGTGGCATCATGGGTAAAACTGTTGCCTGCAATGCTGGCCTTCCAAATGGGCACCGGTTCACGTCCCAACTGCTCCACTTTCAACTCAGTTCCCTGCCAATGGCCTGGGAAAAGCAGCAGAGGATGGCCCAAGTGTGTGGGCCTCCACATGGGAGACCCGGATGAGGCTCCTGCTTGGGCCTGGCACAGCCTTGGTTGCAGTGGCCATCTGGGGGCGAGCCAGCAAGTGGAAGATCGTTCCTTAGGTATCTCTCTAACTCTGTGAAACGGGGTGTGTTTGGCCCACGGGTGGCGAAGCTACCCTCGGTGTAGTCAGCGGAGGAGCTCACGGGATCAATGCTTTCATGAGCTCAGATGTGAGACGCAAAGGTGAGAGCACCTGGTGGGTGTGTGTACGTGTGTGTTCCCCCAGGAACGACTGATTGATCTGAAAGAGTTACAGACACAGAGGCGGCATTCTCCTTCCACTGGTTCACATCCCCAGTGACCGCACTCATTGACGGGTGCTGAGTCACCCCAAAGCCAGAGCTCTGGCCAGGTCTCCTGTGTGGGCAGCCGGGACTCTGGTGCCAGCATCTGGGGATGCCAGCTTCCCAAACTGCAGCTTTAGCCACCACGCTGGCCCCTGCCGGTGTTCCTTTTTTAAATGTTTATAATTTTCTACAGTGTTTATTTTTTATGATGTTAACATAGTTAAGGAGGCACTCCCCTGTGGACCACTGTTTAGGGTGAGGAGCGTCGAGGACGGGAAAAGGGGGACAGAGCTGCTCTTAGCGGCCCAACTGCACCAGCACCTGAGGATGAGGACGGCCACCATGTCACCCCAGGGAAGTCTGCACTGCCCTTACGGGCCCCTTCCTGGTCTTCCTTCAGCACCCACCTGGACGCCCACACCGCACCACAGAACACGGAGGAGGAAGGGTGGTGCAGGACTTAGCAATGACTGCACCCACAGACTCGGGGACAGCAGGGACCTCACATGAGCCTCGGGGACCTGGGACGGGTGCCATGGACATCAGACACATTGAAAGTCTTTTTCCTTCTCCCCGCGTTGAGGCAGTGTCCCCGGGAGGAAGGACAGGAGCCACCCCATGTGCGAACCCCCCAGGGCAGCCAGCCCACCCTATCCCCTGGACAAAGACACTGTGGCCTTCACCATGAACTTCCAGAGAAGTCCTGGCCACGAGACAGGCCAAGGTGACACCCGTCCGTGACCCACACAGAGCCGCTGGCCCCTGCCCTGGAGCCTCAGGGACCCGATGTCCCCCTGGTGTTTGCATGGGGTCATAGTTGAAGCTTACAAACAGGCAGCAAACATTTGAAATCAGATGAGCAGAAAACCTCCCTCACTTGTGTCAACATTAAAAATAAAACACGTTGTGGGGGACAGCCACCTATCTCCCCTGCCCCCACCATGCCCTGGGGTGGTAGGGTAATCCTCAAATCCTCAGCACCCCATATGGGCACGAGTTCAAGTCCCAGCTGTTCCATGTCCCATCCAGCTCCCTGCCTGGGAAACAGTAGAGGGTCGCCAAACGCCTTGGGACCCTGCACCTGCATGCAAGACCTGGCTTCAGCTCCGCTCCGGCCTTTGTTGCCACTTGGGAAGCGAACCAGCAGGTGGAAGATCTGTCTTTCAAATAAAAAATATTTTAAAAGAAAAAATAAAAGCATCAGTGTGGGCTGCCCACCCCTCCACATCACAGTGCTGGGGGTTCTAGTCCCTTCCAGCTTGCTGCCCATTGGTCCCAGGGGAGGCTACAGGCTGGCTGGAGTGTAGGGAGCCATGTGCGCCCACCGGGCACAGCCTGACTGTGGTGGACATTTGGGGAGAGAACCAGCTGACTAAGCTTTGCCTTTCAAAGTAAAAACTGGGGTCCTGCATAACCTGCATTGTCCTCAAACTAACTACCCCAATGGCTGCTGATGGGGAGGGGGTCCCCCACCAGTGAACCTTGCTGATTGTCAAATCCACAGTGCCAGGAGAGTGAAGGGTGGGAACCAGCTAGGGCAACCCAGGAGGACCTGCAAACCCGGGGAAAGCCCTGGGAGATATGACTTTGCCCTTGGCCCTGCAGGGTGCCCAAGCGGAAGTGCCCAGGCCCAAGAGCTGCAGCTCTGGCCCGTCTCAATGGCCACCAGCTTCCCAGAATCATGCTGCAGAGGCAGGTTCCTTCAGCCCGGCTCCCTCAGCCCCTCTCCCATCTCCCTCAGCCCTTCTCCCTCAGCCCTTCTCCCTTCTCCCTCAGCCCTTCTCCCTTCTCCATCAGCCCTGCTCCCTCAGCCCTTCTCCCTCAGCCCTTCTCCCTCAGCCCTTCTCCCTCAGCCCTTCTCCCTTCTCCATCAGCCCTTCTCCCTTCTCCCTCAGCCCTTCACCCTCAGCCCTTCTCCCTCAGCCCCTCTCCCTTCTCCATCAGCCCTGCTCCCTCAGCCCTTCTCCCTCAGCCCTTCTCCCATCTCCCTCAGCCCTGCTCCCTCAGCCCTTCTCCCTTCTCCATCAGCCCTGCTCCCTCAGCCCTTCTCCCTCAGCCCTTCTCCCATCTCCCTCAGCCCTGCTCCCTCAGCCCTTCTCCCATCTCCCTCAGCCCTTCTCCCTTCTCCCTCAGCCCTTCTCCCTTCTCCCTCAGCCCCTCTCCCTTCTCCCTCAGCCCTTCTCCCTCAGCCCTTCTCCCTCAGCCCTTCTCCCTTCTCCCTCAGCCCTTCTCCCTTCTCCCTCAGCCCCTCTCCCTTCTCCCTCAGCCCTCCTCCCGTCTCCCTCAGCCCTTCTCCCTCAGCCCTTCGCCCTCAGCCCTTCTCCCTCAGCCCTTCTCCCTTCTCCCTCAGCCCTTCTCCCATCTCCCTCAGCCCCTCTCCCTTCGCCCTCAGCCCTTCTCCCTCAGCCCGCTCCCTCCCGCCCGTCCTCCCGGCGCAGCGCGCAGCCTCCCGCGGCCTCCCGCCCCGCCCGCCCCGCCCCCGGCGTCACGTGACGGCGGAGAAAAGTAGGGGAAAGGTTAGCGGGACCCGCCCCCCCGCGGCCGCGCGTCCCGGGCGCTCGGATCCTGTTCCACCGGCGGTGCCCACACAGCCCTTCCGGAGCGACCGCGGCTGCCTTCGCCGGGAAGGCCGGGCCTCGCCCCGCTCCGGGGCAGCGAGAGGAAGCTGGCCGCGCCCGCCGGGCGGCGGAGGCCCCGGAGCAGATGCCGGGCGCTGCGCCCGCCGAGCCTCGAGCGCGGCCCTCGGGTCTTCGCCTGCGGAGAACTAACGGAGTTTTTATGGATAGAGCCGCGGGGCCGGGGCTCCCCGGGGGCCGGGGCGGGCGGCTCGCTGGCCCCTCCACGTTGGGCGGCTTGTTTTCGGGACCCACTGGGAAGGTTACTTTGGCCCGGGGCCCGCGCCGAGCTCCGCCACTGACGCACGGCCGGTGCAGTCCTGGACCTGCCCGTTCTTTCCCCCTGTTTCCAACCGCTGCGGAGATGCAGTGCTAGTGCAAGGTCAAGGCCAGCAGGGCCAGACCGGGTGAGCCTGGCTGGCTCTGGGTCCCCGGGCCAGCCTGGCCGCGACGTCCCCACCCCCACGCGCTGCGCGCCAAGCACCCGTGCTGCCAGCGTGTTTAATTCACTCGGTCTGCGGCGTGGCAGGAAACAAACACGCCTGCATTTCTGGAATGACCAGAAACCAGACGCCTGTGCAGCACAATCCACTTCTGGAAAGGTTAAACTGATTTTCATGTGGCTCAGCTAAAGTGATCGGTTTCCTGCTAACACCTGCCGGGGACTCGGGCGGGTCTGTGCTTAACCGGCTGACTTGGGATTTCACTCCTGGGAGTATTTTGGTTAAAAAAAAAAAAATCAGCCTTCATTTGTTTCCTTCCACTGCTGGCACACGAAGAAAGACGAGGTACCTGTTCGGACCCAGGGTGGCCCCGCTGGCCCCGCCACGGGATGCCCCAGCCTGACCAGGCTGCATCCACCTGCTCCGCGCCTAGCGCTGCCCAAGGTTGAGGAAGCGTCCAGCTCGCTCTGCACCAGGAGCCCCCCGCGCGCGCGCCCAGGCGGGTCCCGAAGGGGACAGGGTGGGCGTCGGCGGCGCGCCAAGCCGAGGGCCGAGCATCTCTGACGGTGCAGCCACACACAGGGCCGGCTCACGCGCTCACCGACCCCTTGGCAGTCCTGACCCCAACCCACTCGGGGAGCCGGGACAGGACGCGGCCAGAAAGAAGCCGGTGACTCTCCCTGGCGCCGGGCCGAGGCGTCGGGCCAAGTCCCGCGAGCGAGCATCCCTGCCGCGGTGGCCAGGGACACAGCGACCACAGTCCTGGGGCGGACCCCAGACCCGATCCACGATCTGGCCGGGGCGCGGGGACAGAGAGACAGGGGGAGAGGGGGGTAACCGGCGCCCCGTCCGGCCAGGGCCGGGGGCCGAGCATCCCTCCGGTCGGCACAACGGAGTGGCTCGGACCCCAGATCCGGCACCGGGGGCGCGGCCTCCTCCACGCTCCAGATCCGGCTTCCCCTGGAGCCCCACGGGCGAGGCTGGGCTGCCCGCCCCGCAGCCCCAGTCCCGGCCGCGCTCCCAGGTCTCCCGGTGCGCCGCAGCCCGCAGGGCGCGCGCGCAGCCCTCCCTCCCCGGGGCGCGCGGCGGCGGCCGGCCTTACCGAGTCGGCGGACCGGCGGCGCGGCGGAGGCGTACTGAGCGAGCGGCGGCGCCGGGAGCCGGGGGCGGGAGGGCCGCGGGCGAGGCCGAGCGCACCGACGCCGGCCGCCGCCGATTGGCTGAGGACGACCGGGGCCGCGGCGCGGGGCGGGCGGGAGGCTGGGGCGCACGGCGGGGCGGGGCGTCGGGGGCGGGGCCCCGGCGGGCGCCCAGGGGACGGTTGCGGGGCGAGGACACCGAGGTGCGCACCCTTGGTCTGTGCCAGGTGGAGCTTAGGACGAGCTTACGCACTCTGCGAGCCTCAGTTTGCTCATCTGTGAAATGGGCCTGCTCGCTGGGCCGCCCCGATTTCTCGTAGCGCCCTACCGGGTTTATGACCTTAGTTTATAGGCATTACTCCATAGAAACCCGCAGGGTAACCCGACCGGGCTAATGCTGTTCCTCTTACACACACACACACCCTTTATTTTACGGGCCAGGAGTTGGACCAGAAAAGGGATGACCAATATGCCCCTAGGTCACGGAGCCAAGAAAGTGGCGGGCAGAGACCCAAGCGTTTCCGTGGGAGGCAGCCGACGCGCCACTGGTCTCCTCCTCCGCTTGGTCCAGCACCGGCGGCAGTGCCTTCCCGGCGCGGCTTTTGGTGAGATTTGGTGGCAATAATTAGGCTGGCGTCAAAGACATGAAAGGATGGGAGTCGCAGGAGCCAACCGCAGGGGTGACCGGGAGGCCACGCCGGAGCTGGGGAGAGGAGTGGGGAGCCGAGAGGTACCCTGGGCCCTGCAGGGCGGGGGTCGGAGCCCAGGGTTTGGGGGGCAGTGGTGGTGGGGTGTGGGGGCGCGCCCCGGTCCCGGCGCGCAGCAGCTCTCGCCGGCCGGTCCTCCAGCAGCCTCCACTCGGGAAATAGCCCCAACTCGGGCTCCCTCCCGAAGATTGCAAGCCCCGCGTCGGCCTCCATCTTCCTTGGTGCGGACGGCTCCCGAAGAGAAAATGAAAGTCACCCCTTGGTCCCGCCCCCGCCGCCGTGCGCTGACCGTGGCGGGCATCTCCCCCCAGCTCTCCGTGGAGAGACGCGAGCACCTCGGTGCTGCAGCTCCACTTGGCCGTCCCGGAGCTCTCCCGCGCCCCGGGACCGTGCAGCCGCCCCTTCTGCCCTGGCACCGCAGCCAACGTCCATCGAAGCTCTCGGACGGCCTGCGTGCCTCCCCGGGACCCCGAGGCTCCTGGAGAACGGGTTTCTTTGACGGGAAGCGGCCTGGAGCAGGGAGCGCGTGGGTGTCACCCGCCCAGCTGTCGCCCGGAAAAGCCAGCTCAGTGCACCACTTCCCCGCCCGCTGGCGGGAGCAGACCCAGCCCGGGATTCTTTATGCCATCCAGGGGCGGGATTCGGGAGTGGGCTGCGTCTTTTATTTCTTGGAGGTTAGAAGTTGGAGTTCTAATTCCCGGGCTGCTCCATGCAGCTCCCACGGGCTCCCGACCCCGTCCGATTTCACAGTCCGAGAAGAGGGGCATCCGGCACGGATCGGCGTTGCACCTGCCCTGGCGCCTCGGCGCCGCCTCCAAGCCAAAAAAACGCTCTCGCGGCTACGCTCACCTCGCGCCCTCGGCCGCCAACCTCCCTGTCCCTCAGGTCCCCTCCAGTCGGTCACTTCCTCGCGAGCTCAGGGCCCTGCGGCGCTCCTCCGCTGGGATTGGCTGCGCGCCCTGTCGTTCCCAGGGTTCTGCGGCCTTGACCGTGAGCTTCCCCCGGGGCCGCCGCCTCCGTGCCACCTGCAGGGCGCCAGAAACCGGTGAACTTACGGGAATAAACACCCCCGTGCGCTCCACACCGCACTCTGTCCCCTCCGACTGCGGATCCCTGCATTTCTGCGTGGATTTTAGTAAAACAAGCAAATAAAACATAAACCAGAGGTCCTCACATTATCCTGAGTTCCCTGGGCCCCAAAACATCCCAGTCTGGGCCTCAGAGGCTAACATAGTCTTTTTCAAGATCTATTGAATTTTCTTTCCCCGACAGAATTCTTTCCAAGCTTCAACCGAAAAATCTTGTAACAGCTACCTACCAAGGCGACTTCAAAAAAAAATATTAGGACCTGGGGCCGGCCCAATGGGTGTAGCGGCTAACCTCTTGGCCTTGCTCACTTCCGGATCCCAGGTGGGCACCAGCTCTAATCCCGGCGGCCCTGCTTCCCATCCAGCTCCCTGCTTGTGCCCTGAGAAAGCAGTTGAGGACGGCCCAAAGCCTTGGGACCCTGCACCCGTATGGGAGACCTTGCAGAGGCTCCTGGCTCCTGGCTTTGGAATGACTCAGTTCCTACCATGGAGGTCACTTGTGGAGTGAATTGCAGACAAAAGATCTTTTTCTCTGTCTCTCCTCCTCTGTATATCTGTCTTTCCAATAAAAATAAATACATCATAAATATAAATATAAATATAAATTAGGGCCTAGCGTGATAGCCAAGTGGCTAAAGTCCTCATCTTGCACACGCCAGGATCCCATATAGGCATTGGCTCTAATCCTGGCGGCCCCACTTCCCATCCAGCTCCCTGCTTGTGGCCTGGGAAAGCAGCCGAGGCCTTGGGACCCTGCATCCATGTCAGAGGCCCAGAAGAAGCTCCTGGCTCCTGGCTTCAGATCAGCTTAGCTCCGGCCATTGCAGCCACTTGGGGAGTGAACCAGAAGACAGATCTTTCTCCGTCCTTCTGTGAATCTGATTTTCCAATAAAAATAAATAAATCTTTGAACAATAATAATAAATACGTTAGTTAAATTAAAAAGATAAGAGCGCTCTTTGGAAACGGCCAGATGGCATAGCAACCTAGCCCTCCTCCTGCATATTGGAATGCAGCTGCTCCATGTCCATCCAGATCCGGGCTGTGGCCCTGGGACAGCAGAAGATGGCCCCGGTCCTTGAGTCCCTGCACTCATGTGGGAGACCTAGAAGAAGCTCCTGGCTCCTGGCTTCGGATCGGCTCAGCTCTGGCTGTTGCGGCCATTTGGGGAGTGTACCAGCAGATGGAAGACCTCTCTTTCTCTGTATCTCTCTGTGTATAAATCTGTCTTTCAAATAAATATAGATTATTTTTTTATTCTAAAAACACCAGCTTAGAAGGAAAAAAAACTTTCAAAAACTAGCAAGGATAGTTAAGGAAGGACCATTGGGCAGCCCACAGCCCAGGCTCCGTCAGTGCCAAGCAAGGGTCGGATTCTTGGGCACATATCTGCAGAGGGGACGGGTTCTGTCTGGAAGCTTTAGCCCGGTGACCTTGTGACGCCTGCCCACTAGAAGCCAGCCCTCGAGGGCCAGCCAGGGCCACGGCCAAGTCCTGGCCGGCAGCCTCCTTCCTCGTGGCACTCTGCGGCAGTCTCCAATCCAGAAGTGTGTGTCAGTTTTTGGATGAGCTCAGCTCCGGCTCCCCTAGGAAATGATATTGTCATCTTGCGGTGCTGAGCGCCTCTCTCTCTCTGTTTGCCAAAGCCTCGCAGCCCTCTGACCTTGAACCCTGAGACTGACCGGCACTGGGCATACAGGGACGGTGGCACGTCAGGGTGGTGACTGCTCAGCCAACGTCGCAGGGGCAGGGAGATGAAGGCCGGACAACGTGCTCCTGGGAGGAGGGAAGGAAAGCCAAACACAGCGACAGATGTGCCTGGCACATTCCGTCAAGCCACTGCCTGGTGATCCCAGCCTGCGGTGTGAGCCCAGGACCAACGAGGGTGTCTGGCGCTCTGTCTAACATCGTTGATGCTTTTTCAGCGCCTGGGCTGCTCGGCACCCTGGCTGGCACCAGGAGATGGGCAGGAAGGCGGTCCCAGGCGAACGGCAAAAGCAGAAGGCGGGAGTGACACAGCAAGCTGCAGCGCACACGCCTGCTGCTGAGCCCAGCTCCTGTCGGAGGCCCATGGCCCTGGCAGAGCGTACATGTCATCTGGGAGCTTGAGGCTGGGCACAGGGCCCAGGGAGGGGCCACAAAGTCATGGCCGCTGTGGATGCCGGGACCCCATGGTAACGCTGCTGCCTTGCAACACCAGCATCCCGTGTGGGCACCTGTTCAAGTCCTGGCTGCTTCACTTGTGATCTGGCTCCCTGCTACTGCACCCGGGAAAGCAGTGGAGCGAGACCTAAGCCGTTAGGACCCTGCACCCATGCGGGAAGCCCACCCATAGTCTTGGACATAGTCTTGGCTTTGGTCTGGCTCACTCCTACCACTGTGCTATTTGGGGAGTGAACCAAGGGCAGGAAGTCTCCCTCCCTCCCTCCTCTGTAAACCTGTTTTTCAAATAAGCGTTTTTAAAATTCTTGAACAAAAATAAAGACCAGTGACAGCTACACTTCGAAGCCATGTGCATCCATTGCAGTAAAAACATCCAGTCAGAACATTCTAGAATAAGCCCGGCCCTGTGTGGGTTAAGAGAAAGCCTAGCTCTGTGTCACATGGGCTGGGATCTGGCGGCCCCTCGGAGGAGCAGCCTGTTTTCTAGAAAACGGCGTCACTGAGGAAGAGTCCGCAAACCCGGGGGAAACGGACAATCCATCCAAGAGAAGCAAGGGCTTCTGGGACTGAGGGCACAGCAGCCTTGCTCAGGCCTCTGGCTTCGTTGTCCTGTCACCTTTTAAGAGTTATCTTTATTTTTTAAAAAGGATTTATTTGTTTTCTTCGGAAAAGCAAATACATACAGAGAGGAGAGACAGAGAGGAAGTCTTCTGTCCAATGATTCACTCCCCAAGCGGCCGCAACGCCTGGAGCTGAGCTGATCTGAAGCCAGGAGCCAGGAGCTTCTTCCAGGTCTCCCACACAGGTGCAGGGTCCCAAGGCTTTGGACCGTCCTTGACTGCTTTCCCAGGACACAGGCAGGGAGCTGGGTGGGAAGTGGAACAGCCGGGATCCCTGCAAATGCAAGGCGAGGACTTTAGCCACTAGGCTATTGTGCCAGGCCCTTCCTATCACCTTTGTAGCCACCACTTCATATGCCCCCTCTTGCAGGTGAAGCATGCCACCTGTGTCATGCTGGGGTTCCCCGCTGCGTGTCCCTGCTGCCC